CACCTCAGCCTCCCAAAGGCGCGGGATTACAGGCTGAGCCACCGAGCCTGGCTGGTTTTTCTTTTTAATTGTAGAGATGAGGACTCGCCTTGTTGTCCAGGCTGGTCTCAAATTCCTGGGTTCAGGTAATCCTCTCCCAAAGTGCTGGAATTACAAGCGTGAGCTACTGCACCTGGCCTGAATTTTTTTTGAGACTGTTTAAAAATTGGGAGATCTTACATAAAATATCCAGATTTCTGGATTCTTTTCATGAGTCAGCGATCTGACAGTACCGACCCTCACAATCCTGCACACCACAGTGGCTTAGCTAGAAACATTGCCTCTCCTAGTTCCAGTTTGCCACAGACCTCAACTCTCCCTATTGTCTCTGTCTCTAAGCTTCAGAGTCAGTCAACATTGTTATGAGCTGTTTGGTTTTTTTCATTGTAGAGAAATATTTCTTCATGCTGTTTCTTTTTATTTTTATTTTTTTTGAGTTGGTGTTTCACTCTGTCGCCCAGGCTAGAGTACAGTGGCACACTCATGGCCACTGCAGCCTCGACCAGCTGAGCTCAGGTGATCCTTCTGCCTCAGCTTTCCAAGTAGCTGGAACTACAGGCACACACCACCATGCTTGGTTATTCGTGCTATTTCTATCAAAAATAGGCACATGAAAGATGTTTCCAGAAAGAAGGAGGACTTTTTTTTTTTCAAACAGCTAAAAATTTTGAGTGTGTTTATTAAATAAATAAAATGTACCCTGTATTAGTCTGGGTTCTCCAGAGACACAGAAACCTATAGGGTATGGATATAAATAGAGATTGATCGTGGTGGCTTGGTGAGTCCAAAACCTGCAGGGGAGGCCTAGCAGGCTGCAGGCTCAGGAAGAGTTCCAGTTGAGGTTATAGGCGGTCTATTATTGATAGAACTCTTTCTTGCTTGGGGGAGGGTCAGTCTTTGTTCTACTAACGCCTTCAACTGATTTGTGAGACCCATCCACATTGTGGAGGTCATCTGCTTTACTCAGAGTCCACCAATTTAAATGGTAATCTCATCCAAAAACCACCTTCACAAAAACCTGCAGAGTGATGTTTGACCAACTATCTGGGCACTGTGGTCCAGCCTAGGTGACATATGAAATTAACTAGTGCTGTTCTGCAATTTGGGTCACTGCTCTAGAGCAAACCACAGAACCTGGCCTGATCAACTCATTTACCTGGGTTTGGCTCTTTGTGCATCTGAGTTACCAGCCCCTCACTAGGGAGCAAACATAATGAAGAAACTCTGCTCTACCTCATTTGTTAAAGCTTTTTTCTTTTCTCTTCTCTTCTCTTTTCTTGAGTCAGAGTCTAAGTCTCACCCAGGTTGGAGTACAATGGCACAATCATGGCCACCACAGCCTTGACCTACTGGGCTCAGGCAATCCTTTCTGCCTCAGCCTTCCAAGCAGCTGACATCACAGGCGCGCACCAGCATGCCAACTGATTTTTTTTGACTTATTGTAGAGACAAGGTCTCACCACATTGCCCAGGTTGGTCTGGAACCCCTGAGCTCTGGCAATCCTCTTGCCTCTTCCTCCCAAAGTGCTGGGATTACAGGCATGAACCACCATGCTCGGCCAAAACTTTCTTCTTTAAAGTTGTCTCATAGTTACTCAAAATCACTATTACAGATTAGAGGTGATAGTCAAAATAGGTATGCTGTTGAAAAAGAAAAAGGAATGGAATTGATTGCTTCCAGCTTTGTAATGCTGCAACAAATTCAACAGTAGGCAAGGATTTGTTTAAAAATCGGATTCCTCTAGCTGATTGGGGTTCTGGGTGTTTCAAAACCAGAGAAAGGAACCGACAGCTTTCAGGATTGGTCACAGCTTCTCAGGATAGCTTAAGGACCTTGAGAAGTTCTGCCACCACGCCGTCGTAAGCTGGGGCTGCCGCTGGTGAGGCCTGGCCTGTCCTGCACTGGAGCAGGGCGCAGGCCCAGCAGTGCCCGCCAGGAAGGAGGAGCAGCGGGCAGAGGCGCCGGGCAGGGCGTCCTCCTCCTGGAAATGGAGTGATTTACATTTGGCATCTGTTTGGACCCGAGAGTGGGAA